TCAAAATGGCTACACGCCTAACGAAGAAACAACGTTCTCAAATATTGTCGTGTCACTATCAACCTTTTCTAACAATAATTAACAGTTCTTTAACACAAAAAACTTACCTGTTGTGTTATTTATTTTTTGCTATATCCCAATGGGTATATTTTCCCCGGTAAGCTATCGATAGGTTCGTAAATTTAAAGGGATGTTACTCAGATATCCTAACAACTCTTTCTATAGATCACAGAAATTTTGGATTTCATTTGCGCATCTCTTCATCTGAATTTCAAACCGAACATATAAATATGTATCACAACCTGTCCATGCTGTAAAATCTGGAAGAGTCTGTTGCCGACTGTTTTACATTGAAAGAATTCCGTCCTCATTCATGCAGTGTTGTTTTTCTCGATCATTCGATTCCTAAGAATTAACAGATTAACGATATTTCCCCGCTTTGGTAGCATAAAAACATTACTTCACAGTACTACTGTTCATACCAGTTATCTAAAAGTCAAACATTTAACATAGGTATGCTGATTTCTTTCCTTCTTTCCCATTACTGTATTGTTGTCATGCAGACGATCTGATTTGTTTAGCAAAGGGGGATAATTCAAAATGAAACGAATGTAGAAAATAAGTCAGGAACGTAACGGACAAGTTTCGAAATTCAGGAAAATATCTGTTAGAGAAAAAGTATTTAATTGTTCCTTCATGAACTTCTTGAAGCGGGAAATACACATATAAAGACAGCCAAAGTAGTTCCGGCTGCAAAGTGCAAGCGAACTCCAAATTCTATTGATGCAGTTATCAAAATAATTTTTTATCCAATCAGAATCAATTATTTTATAGAAATTAAATGATTAAAAAATAATCGTAGAATGACATTTATAAATTTGTGCTTCATGCTCACGCGGTTCATGAAATATGCTGAGGTGAAGCGTCTTTGTTCATGTCCTCGTGAATTTTAAAAAATTTAATTCATTTTTCAAATATATTCCCGTGAGCATGATGAGTTGAAATGTGTGTGTGTGTTTTTTTTATTTTTTATTTAAGGAATGAATTTAATAGCTACTCAATTTATACGATATAAAGTGGGTTGGGGCAGTTTACGCTTTATAAACCGCGAAGCGGTTTATAAAAAAGCGTATACTGTTCCAACCCACTTTATACCGTATAAATTGGGTAGCTATTAATTTCATTCCTTATAATTTAATTTTCATTCATTTAATGTAAGAAAAAAAGACGATTGCCTTTCAAAAATGACTTCAAACTGTACAAAATTTAAATGTAACGTCAGGCGGATCGATACGTTTTTGACGCGCGTCATTGTGACGTAGGCAACCCAATTTATACGATTTAAAGTAATTTTTTTATCCAATCAAATGGCGCGTTACAATCAGAATTAAATTATAAATGTATATGCTCAAAATAATTTTCTCTCTCTGGTATACCTGGTACCTCCGTAGTACCTCGATTGTCAGAATTAACCTCTCTTAGTTTCGTCTGTCATTCTTACACGTGTATTTTTTGCTAGATTTGTGAAAACTTGCAAAAAGAAACTTTTCTTTTCTGTCAGAAGAAGTGTGTTAAGTTTTAATTTTTTACCAAATACGACGAATAAAACATTGTACCACAACAAATGTTTACGCAATTTAATGTGCCGACGATTCAATGTTTACATGGTCGATGTAAGAGCTGAAAATACTATAGAGAAGATCTTACAGAGGAAAACGATTTCCTCAGCGATATTTTTAAAAATACGTTCATGTCCAGCATGCGACCTCAAACTGGTCTATACACGTATAACGTTATATGAAAATCGCATTCGTTTATCTGTCCATCCATATAGGCCTATATTCATTATAATCACCGAGGAAATCACGCCGTCTGAAGCTTCTAGGAAATGAATATCTATCTACTCATAGATGTAGACCTATAGGAAAGAAACCGATCTCAAATAAAATTCTAATATTTTAAATAAAACTAGAGGACATAAAGATCCAGATATGAATTAAATTTATTCATGAAATAGATTTCAGTGTTCAGAACTACGACAAAAGATAGACGTGTCAAAACGAAAACCCTCCCAAAAAACACAGGGATAAAAAAATCTGCGTCGACGCTCGATCACCAACACTCTACAACATCACATATTTATCTTATTCTTTCTCTGTTTTAAAAATATTGCCACGAAGATCTTTTGTCATGGGCGTAATCATAATTACGCTCCTTATTCAGCTGTTATTCCGGAAATGGTTACCGTAAATCTTTTTTTTAAACATCACATGAGTCGATCACGTGACGCCTTGTATATCTTCAAATTAATTGTACCTATCTTCAAATCAATTGTACCTATCTTCAAATGAATTAAAGAAATAAAATATAATTGAATTAAACCTATCTTTAATTCATTTGGAGACAGGTACAATTGATTTGAAGATAGGTACAATTGATTTGAAGATAGGTATAATTAATTGAAGATAGGTTCAAATATTTGAATATATGTTAATTTGGCGTTCCATAGCATACAAGTATGTAAATCTCTTTAGTAAATATAAATATATTGTAAAACATTTAGAAAAAAAAATAATAAAACGCCTATATATAAATAATCAGCGATAAATTCCTGTCTCTTATTTCAGATAGGAACGAATGCGTCATTGACAACGGCGGGTGTGAACAGGAGTGTCGGAACACCATAGGCTCGCGCTACTGCCTGTGTAGACAAGGTTATGTAGCCGTAGGCAACGTCTGTTTTGGTATGTTATATGTTTACTGGCTTTGCATAACTTAATTAGTGGTCTTTCTATATGTGTCAATTATATGAAAATGATTTTAATACCCGATGTTTCTATATGAAATCTATCATTCAATATTTCATATTCTCTGCCTGTAAAATGTCGGACCCAACCCACATAGCTATCTACTTATTTTTTTACAGCTGAAATATAGGCCTAACCATGCTAACGTACATATTTATATACGGCCTATAAATGTCTCTGATCCCATCATTTCATTTTAATTATTTTTATAATATAATTAATATTATATTTGTATCAATTGCACTATGTTTGCAGTGTTCTAAGAGTCTTTTTTTAAAAAGTGTGCATAGAGCCTACATAAAAATCTATACTCCAATCAAATTAAACAATTGTGAGTTAGGCTGTGCCGCCAATCTGATTAAAATCAGATCCCCGATGCTCCTTTTTTAACGATATGTCGCTTACGAGGCGACATATCGTTTAAAAAAAAAAAAAAGAAGAAGAAGCAAATATGGTCCACGCCATTTAAAAATTTTGCGGGAAAATAATAGGATATGACGCACTACTAATTCGCAAGTCCTATGTATATAAATAAATTAAATGTGATTTCTCGTATCCCGTGATAGCTCAGTTGGTAGAGCGGAGGACTGTAGTAAGTTGATCTAGAAATCCTTAGGTCGGTGGTTCAAATCCGCCTCGCGGGATGCAAATTTTTTTTTTTAAAGATTTTTTTAAAAAAGTGTGTATTGATATATATGAAACATAGAACATGTAGCACAATAAGTGTAATGTAAGTTGTCATGATAATTATTCTTTTTCCCCTGTGTAAATCTGTTCCTCCACTCACATACTCCAGTCTGATGCATGTGTGCAATCATCTTACTTTGAATGATGTCTGTTAATAATCTTTGTTCTTTTTGTGTAATATTGTTCCTTGAGAATCCATAATTCGCCAATAAATAAAAATAAATATATTGAAATAATGCGGGGAACAGAAATATCCACTGGCGCACCAACCAAAAAAAAAAAAAAAAAAAAATGTATAGTTATCATATACGTAGTATAGTAAATCCACACTTTTTTTGTACGCTATAATATTAAAACGTAATTTGTAGGTAAACCAAAAGCCGTACATTTCTAAGCACTTCATTCAGTCTTATTAGGAAACCTACATATTATATATTAAACATAAATTACAAATTACAAGCGGTGAAGTATATATATAGAAACGTAAATGGATTAAAGTAAAATAATATTATTACTTTATGGGAGGGGTATTACGTGTGTATTACTTGGGTGCTCAGCTGGTAGCTGAGGTATTATATAAAATCTCATCCATTTCTCTGGTCAATATCCCCAAATTGTACGATTTATTTAATTGTTTTGACAAAGAAAAAAAATATGTTAAGATTTTTTTTTAAATGTTATTGTTATTTATTAGTCGTGCATGTTCCATTGTATATGTTTGATGATCAATTTTTATTTTTAAAAAAAATTATATATGATAATATACATGTAGGAGATGAAAATATATATTTGTTTAATATTTAAGATGTTTTTTTTTAAACAAAAATCATCTGACAGCTATTACATACATGTAAGCTCTAATAGAATACTATACCAACATCAGGGTCAGTAAAATTACTACAGACTTTTCAGATTATGTAAATCAAACTTCATAAACATTTCTGATTATTTATTATAGCAAATCAACTCTCTTTCTCTCTCTCTCTCTCTCTCTCACCGTATAATTTACATACCTCCCTCCCCAGGGAATACACGCCAAATCTAAATTTTATTTCATTTTTGATATAACAGTAATCACTGTAATTTGTATGATATCCCTAAAATTCATTATATTGTATACCAGTTATTTGGCGTACGTGTTCTAGGATGCTCAGAGAAATTTCCGTGTCATGATTAATACTAACAAATCGGGAACATAAGCGCGTGTCGGTCGAGCACATGTTCTCCTGTTGCATGGATAAATTAGATTATATTTCGTATTCTCTCGGCACTCTCCGCTTCCAAATGGCTTTATCCAGAAGAAAGGAAATACCACGCTGTCAGTCATCCAAGCTTACTCGGGAATCACCGTGTTCAACAGCGTGTCAAACCAGTTTAAAAGTTTCCAAAGTTTCCCACGGCGCTTGACGTGGATCCCGAGTGTTGGAATAACAGGGAAAAGAGGACATCTATTGATATTAATCACCTCGGAAGGTAGGTGCCGAGACATTTTACACTTGGAGGGATATAAATAGGTACATATGTGTTTGTAGCATTCCAGTCGGATCAGATAACCTCGGCGAACGAGCTTATCCGATGTGAGGCCCAGCAAAGGGGCACCTGTTGGAACTGGTCTGCCGTGAAGTCAAGTCCGTGTGAAATAATATCACGGATAAACCGTAATCCTGGTCACAATATATAGGGAACCTAACAAGCAGAACTCAGATAACGATCTAAAATACCAGTAAGATTTTGGAGGGAAAATCTCAGCCGTGAATTTGGTCAGGACAGGGGGAAGCGGTGCTACTCTCCCGTGGGACAACCCGCATGTGGTTTTTGTCCCAATTATACAGACAGCACGTCAAGTCAGATTTATAATAGACTGCCGGATATCAAGGTGCTACAGACGATCCTGTTACCTTTTACTCGTGGCCAACTAGACTCTGTCGCTGGGATTTTTATTTTATTGTGACAAAACTTTTTGGATACTTTGTGGACCTTGCAGTTAAAGGGTAAAGTTTAGTTATATTTGATCCAGAGTCCAGATTTAACAGCTGTTTAATTCAGCTGGCGATGTGTTCACCTCGGTGTAAAGACATTCCAGTAGGAATATATTACCTTTGTTGAAGGTCTCCGTGTCGCTTAGGCGTAGAAAACTGGAGGTGGATCTATTGTGGTGAAATGCGTGGTACTGTTTCGATATCTTGTGAACAGTGTCGAATGTTTTGCGTGGTATAAGTGTAGGATGAATTAAGTAATACTGTGATATGATCTCTTCAGATGAATAATATTACAGCATGGGTTATTAAAGATTTACCAAGAAAAGTCAATTGCTGGAATCCTTTGACTTTGACATTTAAGGTGAAAAAAAATATGTCAAAAGATTTTCCTGTTAATTTAAATTAAAGATTTAATGAATTAGACAATTTTGGGTTGATAAATATATGCTCATGCTTTTAGTAACAAATTGTAGATATTGAAATGTGTTTGAAAGTGGCATAGCCTATTGTGATATAAAAATTTTCAAACTTTTTTAATTAAAACCATCTTAATGGTTCCAGTCTGCCGTGTTAGAAATGATCTTGGTTGCCTGGATAAGAAATTTACCCTTTGGGCGTAGTTTACATGTACATGATGTACATGAATAATGCTCTAGGAAGTTTAGTGGATGAATGTGGAAAATCCAGATTCTATCCGTATATTTATTTCTTAAAATATCCTGTTCAACAAATTCATTCAGCGTGACAGATAATCATTCTTTTTGCTTTTGAGAGCTATGAATTCACGGAAAACCTGGCCTATTGTGAAATAAAAATATCAAAGAGGTGTTTCCTTCTCCATGTGAACAGGGGAAGATTTTAATTATACTCAGCAGTTAATAGTCTAATTTGAATCTATTAATAACAATCAATGATTAAAAGGAAATAAAAAAATATTCCAAATTATTGAGTGATAAAAGAAACTTTTTTTTTTGGTTCAAATAGACAAGATATTTAGGTTCTGTGTGGTTAGTAAACAGATATTTGGATCTTTTAAATAGGGCTGGGACGATATATCGAGATATCGATAATATCGATTCAATGTGAGGATGATACGCATATCGATACGTATGAAGAAATATCGACATATTGCCCAAAAAATTCTTACTAATGTTTTTCTTTGTTAACTTAACATTTTGGGTTTAATATGTAAAATAAATATGCTTAATATAAATATGAATATGAAATACATAATAATTAAGACCAACATAATTAAGTTTTACAACAGATATATAACTTCTTTGAATAAATTATTCTTTTTTGTGAAGAAATGCCTTGTTCATTTCAATATAAAAAAGAATTTATAACCAATTAAACATGTCGTGATACATATCGTATCGTGGCTCAAATATCGGGATACGTATCGATATAGAAAAAGTTGTATCGTACCAGCCCTACTTTTAAACCATAAAATTCAAGGCCATATGCCACTTAGACTGTCTTATAAACCATAAATGGCATTTGATGTTATTTTGCCAATGTATGTACTTTACAATTTTATGAAGTAATTAAAAGTGTATAAATTAGCTCTCTAATAAAATTCAGAGACTAAACTGATACATTTTTATAATTTGTCTGTTGGAAGTGGGAAATGAGGTAAAAAAAAAATTAAAGTGACACAATTTTACAAATCAAAAAGTAAATAAGGAAACCTGGCTCATGTTTTGCTCCCCCTATTGCTACTTTTGAGGGTAATTAATACTGATTGAGGATGGAGTTCATGGATTTAATGGAACTTTACAGGATGAACACTTCAACTTAAGGAAGTATGTTTTTGGAATTCACACACGATCGTAGATGGGAAGCAGCCATTTCTAATAGGTCTGAGAGGGGAGAATTGGAAATGGCACTTTGACACAGGAAATTTTTAATCAGCTCCTGTACTTGACAAAAACATTGAAACCAAGTCTTATTTTTCCAAATGAGGTTCTTTTTTTTGATTGCATGGCTTCCTTTAGACATTTTGATTTTTAATTGTTGAGTCATACACTGCTCTGGAGTGTGGGAGTCCAGTGGATGGTTATAAGAGTGATAGAGGATTTTCTTTTTCATTTTGCTGACTTTTTTAAAATGTTCTAGGTTTTTCCCTTTTGTGATTTTGAAATGGATAGACTATTGAATCTAAATTCTGCTTGGCGTTTTTTATAATTAAAGTAGAAGTGAAATACAGGATATTCAAATGATAATGGTAACCGTTAACCAACATTGAATACTGATGAGTATTAAATTATTAGAAATGTTTTATTTTCAAATGCTTTTATTTCATGTTTCAAACTTTCAAAAGCCCAGTTTTGAATAATTTATGTCTTTTCTTTAAGTTTTGAAAGTATCATGAATTACATTTTTCAAAATTTGTTTGGAAAATTTATTTCAAATTTTTATTTTAAATTTCTCTAAATTGTATTATATTCCGTCTTTCAGAAGTTGTACACAGAAGATGTGACAATGCCGTCTGCTGAGCAATCACTTGTGGAACGTCTGCTGAAGCAGTCAATTCTGACCGTCTGCAAGGAGGCAGTGGCCTATAGCCAACAACTAGAGATTGACGGAATCATCTGCATCTCCCCAGAAAACCAGGACAAACAAATTGTGGTCAAAGTTCATGAACTTTTTAAAAAGGCTTTTGATGGAGAAGAAAAAAATCGGATTGACGAACAAGATGATAGTCAGACTATCGGAAATTCAGAATCATCCCTTGGCAGAAAATCCTCTAATGGAGATCAATTTAAAAAAGAGTTTGCAGAAAATTCAAATGATATTCTAGGTGAGGATTCAAACAAGACATTTAGCAAATTCAGTGATGTAAATAGTGAGAGGAACAGTACATTTGAGGAGAATGAAGACTCTGATAGTTCCCATAGTGATGACACCAGTATGGAGACGGAGGGGATGGGAGCAGAGAATGATGAAGATTCGTCAATGTCTGCCTCAGTGATCAAAAAGCCAATGATGAGTAGAATCATAGCTCCAAAACTTTCCAATCAGAGAGTTAAAACAACCCGCCAAAAACAGCAAACCAATTCTAAGAAAAATAGTACAATAAAGAATGAAGAGGATGATGTGCCTGGGTACATTTACAATAGTGAAGCTCCAAAAGCCGACATAAAGCCAGTAAAAGATGTGGAGTGCAAGCGCTGTTACCAGGTGCTCCCAGATGGACCATCATTTGAGAATCATAACCTGAATCAACACAATGTCTATACCTGCCTGGTCTGTTACAACACTTTCACTTGTCGCAATAACATGAAACGGCACATGAGGCTACACACTGGTTATAAACCGTATCAGTGTACGCTATGTTCAGAAAGCTTCACCAGAAAAGATGATATAAAAAGACATCTCATCAAACACAACTACAACAAGCCCTTCAGATGCAACCTATGTAACAAAGGCTACATGGATCGAAAAACAATCAAAAATCACATGAAGAAAGAACATGCCACAAAACTGCTACACTGCTGTCCTACATGTGGTGAGAGCTTCAATGATGTCATCAAATTTCAAAAACATAAGAAGAGTCACCCTGAACTAATGATATACCAGTGCTCGATCTGTAACTTTTCAGGATCAAATCCTCTCATGTACAACAAGCACATGCTGGTGCATGGGCAGGAGAAGACTTTCAATTGTGTTCCCTGTGGGTCAGAGTTTTCGGACCCCTTCAAGTACACTAGTCATCTGAAAAAGCATCGTTCAGATGAAAATTTTGATTCCTATCAGTGCTGCTTTTGTTCTCATATGCTTTCAACATACGACCAACTCATCAAGCATGAGCACACTCATGTACAGAGCAAGAGACACACATGCACTGTGTGCATGAAACAATTCCGTTATCCTTCCAATCTGCGTGAACATATGCTAATACATTCAGACATGAGTCATAAGATCCGAATCCACATTAAGAAGGAGGTCATTCCCTCCACACTTAACAATGAAGAAGAGGATCTGTCCAATTCTGAAGGAAAGGCTGGATCTGTCAAAACTGAACCAGAGATGAATGACAATGAAAAGGAACAAATCTCAAGTCAGTACTGGTGTACCGAGTGTCAAACAGGCTTTGAGTCTGAGAATGATCTCACTGACCACATTTCAGTTGCACATGATGAATCAGTCAGCAAGTCAGAAAACAGTGGACTGGATAACTCTGCTGGTGAAGAAGCTATGAAATATGAAGATTCACTGAATCATGTAGAGGACATGGAAAATTCTAGCAGTGACAATGAAGAAGAAGATTTTAAGATGCCAAGAAAAACTGGAAAAAAGAACTCTAATGTTACCTTCAGTCTGTTACCTGCTCATCTTAAAAACCTAGCTGAGATGAAGAGCACCAAAGCTTGCTCAGACGATGAAGAAATTGAGTCTGAGTGCTCAAATCAGTCTGAGCTCACAAGTGCTGATAATCCTAAGAGCATATCCCCGAGCTTTTCAGATACAGCAAGTCCAGCGTCTAGCATGCCTGTGTTTCCTCAGAATGAGCAGGACAACCATGTCATATTGCCAGCATCCTCTCCGTCACCCATTCCTGTTTCCATGCCCTCTAACAACTTTAGCACTGTCACTCGCTCGCCAGGATTTGAACGCGTCATCACGCCAGAAATTCTCTTCAAAATGAAGGAACCATTTAAGTGTGACATCTGTCGTGGAACGTTTGACAACTTTGAGGCCTTTGATAAACACTGCAACTCTATCCATCGAAGATACATTTGTGACTTTTGTGGCAAGCAATTCACTTCAAAGCCAAATCGAGACCGCCATGTGCGCTACCATACCGGAGAGAAACCTTACAAGTGCGAACTTTGTGGTCAGTCATTTTTCCGTGGTGATGATTTGAAGTACCATAGAACAACTCGCCATTCTGATTTCTTCACCTTCAACTGCAGCAAATGCAGAATGACATTTGCATGGGCAAAAGATTTAGAAAAACACTTGTTGAAGTGTCATCGTTGAATTTTAGAATTTGTGTCAAGTTTTTTAATTTTTAAATCAGAATATGATAAAAAATTTTTTCTTTTGTGCTGAACAGACTAGTTTGAAATGAAATTTGGCATGTTCTATCAACCTTTTCCTTTTATCCTCCAAGGAGAACACTAATGTTTTAAACTCTCTAAAATTATGACTATGAATGAATGCAAAGCTAGGGACAGGTGATAGCTTTTTGAAAAGTATTCCAAATATAGTTGTAAAAATTATTTATGGTTTTAAATAGAAACTAAATAACATAGTTAAAATTTGAGGCTATGAAAGTAAAATAAATCTAATAATCTATGCAACCAGGTAATTCATCGTCAGCCAGGTAAATGAATTAACCTTTTGGTGTAAACTGGAAGTACAGGTATCTGTGAATGAATACTCAAGGTTGTTTGTATTTTGTACTTTGTGTTTCTATGCAATTCTGTCCTTGAATATTGTATGCACTGAAGATCCATAGCAGGAAGAAGTAGACATGCCTATCGAGAAAAAAAAAACATGACAGAAATTTAGGTGGATTCCAGCAGAAAAATCCCTGGGAATTAACTCAGCTAGTTTCAGATCCTTTTACCTTACCAAGCACAATTTTTTTTATTATGAAGTCACACTACAATAAACTGCACCTTTGCATGGGATTTAAATCTGACCCAACATTGACATTCGGAATTTCCAGAGTTTTTTTATGAGATAAAATGATCGGTTCTCCTGGTATTTAGGACGTGGGTTTGATTGTTGTGCAAAATCACATTTGTTGATAAAGAGCTAAGGCATATTATGCATTAGAAAAATATGAATGTAATAACAGTTCAGTGAATAATATTTTTGCATTAATCCCATTTTGACTGTTGTATAACCAGAATTTTAAATTTGTTTCTGAACATGTTGCATAATCTTGATTCTAACAGGATATATTCCAGGTTCCTTGTGTAAGTGCCTTACAAATGGATATACCTATTTTATGTATACAAATAAACTAATAAAATCTTATATTGGTTATTCTTTTCTTAGGAACTGTTTTCATTTGCTGATAATTTTTATTTAGATCATTTTTATGCTGTCAGTAAAATCCTTCATAAGCCAGAAGCTCGATGGGATCTTTCATAGGAACACCTTTTACTTGGATATGATTTTGTTTCCCCTGGTTGGGGAGTCACATTAAAATGGAGTACTGCGAATGTTATAAAACTGTAACAGGAAAGGAGAAAATGTATATGGCTTGACCGGGAATCAAACCCGGGACACCTCCATCACTAGTCAGGTGCTCTACTGACTGAGCTACCCAGGCCGATATCCATGGCCAAAACCATTACATGCCTCCATCCTTAAATTGTCTTCACCCTCGAAGACACAACTCAAGTTCTTATTAGCCCTGACAGGACTTTCACCTGCAAGTCCAGGGGTGGTCAACGGCACCAAATCTGTAACAGAAAAGGAGAAAATGTATATGGCTGGACCTGGAATCGAACCCGGGACCCCTGCATCACTATATAGTCAGGTGCTCTAACAACTGAGCTACCCAGGCCAATATCCACGGCCCAAACCATTACATAACATTTGGATGCGTATTCTTTTTAGCATCTTTGGTGGAAAGCAGCTTCCATAATTCGACATTGCTTAATGTCTTCGATATATTATATTCCTATATCTAGCACATTCAGAATATGCACTAAATGTTAAATCTACACTAACTTGTTGAAAAATCAATTTTCGCCAAATGTAGTACTAAATATGATACATTTACAGAATCTATGTTCTTTATGAAACAATAATGCAGGTATTTCTTCAAATTTAGATTTCTTACAAAGAAACATTGTCAAAATGATGGTGTGTGTGTCCTGGCACAAGCACAAATACACTTTAGGCACATTTAATTAAAGATGTAGAACATTGCAGAATTTTTTTTTTTTTTTTTAATTTCATTTTATCCAATGGTGCCTAGGTAACTCTTTTAAATCAATTTGAAAGCTGTAAAATAAAAGGATGGTCAAGGAATACTTTCTCTGTTCTCTAGAAAAGTGTTATGGACTAGAGCCACATCTCTTGCAATCCTTCATTCTTATTACTTCTTAATTATTTATCCTCTTGGTCTAAAAAGAATTCCATACTTTGATGAGAAAAGCCGTGTCAAAAGAGGTTGAAACTACTGAGATATTTATTTTTAATTCTGAGTCCAAAAAATATGAAAATGTATATTTACAGACATTGATGAGTGCCAGGAATACAGAAAAAATCTATGTCCAGGTGAATGCCTCAACACACCTGGCTCGTTTACATGTAACTGTAGTATCCCAGGTTACTTGCACAGTCCCACAGATAAATTCTGTGAAGGTGAGCCATTTATCTGTTAGTTGTATCCAGAGTTACTTGGACTGTCAGATGAATTGTGTGAAGGTGAGCCATTTATCTGTAAGTTGTATCCAGAGTTACTTGGACTGTCAGATGAATTGTGTGAAGGTGAGCCATTTATCTGTTAGTTGTATCCAGAGTTACTTGGACTGTCAGATGAATTGTGTGAAGGTGAGCCATTTATCTGTTAGTTGTATCCAGAGTTACTTGGACTGTCAGATGTTAGTTGTATCTAGGGTTACTTGGACTGTCAGATGAATCATGTTTAAAGGTGAGATATTACCTGTACTTAGGGACCTGCGTGTAGTGTGGGAGCCCTATAGGAATCATATTGTTCATCTGTCAACACTTTTGTGATGCGATTACTCAAATAATTTTCAACTTACCATTTTCAAGTTTTGTACAGAAAAACTTTATAGACTAAAAGAAATTAAGACACTTGTAAATTTTGGGGTCATATTGCATTGTGTGTATGTCTGAAAATCTATCATGGCATGATAACTCAAATAGTTTTCATACAATTTAAAAATTATACAAAGAAGGTGACTATAAGAAAAAGACTCCTATTAATTTTGTGATCATATTGTTTTATGCATCGTCTGTTTGTACATTGTATGTCCAGTGTTTAACTATTGATAATTCTACACATATATGAGTGAATTTTTTCATGTCCCCTATTCTTATGTGCTACATTTTATTCTAAACATTCTGTATCAAATGTAGATGTCAAGTCCCAATGAAGCCATTAGAGCCCATGTATATCTTCAGATCACTTTAATCTGACATCATGTATTGAAAAAAAATATGTCGGTCAGATTAATTAGTAATCTGAAGGCCTATGTGAGGGATAGGGCTCTCGCTGACTGTGTCAGTTTTCTAGTTAGTATCCCAGAAATTTTTTTTTATCATTCTAGGACCAGGATAATGATGAGACAATTCAATGGTGAATTCTTTTGATTAGGAGATCATGAAATAGTGGTGGGAAATTTATAGTTTTCAGATCATTGGGTTCTTTATTATTTTACAAGTATGGCTGACTCTCTGGTATATTGTGTGCTAAAATTTGTCAAGAACCTTTTTACTTGACTAGATTCTCATATAAAAATATAAATGATGATTTATAATATTGTCCTAACATTCTATAGATGTAGATGAGTGCAAGAAAAACAATGGAGATTGTCAGGAGATTTGTGCCAACACTATAGGGTCATATCGCTGTGAGTGTGGTAATGGTCTGAAGTTAGAGATGGATGGTCACAACTGTACAGGTAACACAATCTTACAGGTAAAAAAAAACATACAAATTACTCTATCTTACAGGTAACACAACTGTACAGGTAACACCATCTTACAGTAACACAACTGTACAGGTAACACCATCTTACAGTAACACAACTGTACAGGTAATACAACTGTACAGGTAACACCATCTTACAGATAACACAACTGTACAGGTTACACCATCTTACAGATAACACCATCTTACAGGTAACACCATCTTACAGGTAACACAACTGTATAGGTAACACCATCTTACAAGGTCTTACAGGTAACACTATCTGGTCCTACAGGTAGCACTGTACAATCTTACTAGTAACATTACCAATTTTACAGGTAACATTCTCAGGTAACACTATAGGGTCTTAGAAGACCACTGTCTGAGGTACTCTGGCATACTAGAGGTCAGGGCGTGATACTTTTGACTTTGTGCCATTTGACCTTCAGAACAGAATCTGCTTGCACTCTGAATACAAGGCCTATCCACCTCGATCACCTCCCCTTGGTTTGTAAGGAGAATGTTTGTCCCCCTGTATAGATCTTTGTAGTAGATAGTGTTTAGTATGTTCATGCTAAAAAAAGGTGTTCCTGTAAATTTGTTGTTAAAAAAATTTAACCATATAGTGATTATCAGAAGATACTTTGTTGTAAATCATGTATTTAATGAATATGATTTATCAGAAGTAATGGAGAATTGTTTTTACAGTAATGAAAAAAGATGGCTGGTCTTGTATATTATGGGAACAAAAATAAATTTATTCTTCCAATTACCACAAAATTATAATTGTTCCTTCTGCATGTCTTAAATGTTCTGATCTTTAGAGGGAAATATTGGTAATTGAAGGTCTGTGAAACCTGGGATTGGACATGTCACAGATTATATTTTTACTAGGGATATACACTACGTAATTACATTGTATAAATTTGCTTTGATGATCAGTGAACTTCCTACAAAACCTCAGGACTCAGTGGAACTGTCCATAATTTTTAGCAGGCTTTCCTTGTCTGGGAAAGATAATCAGGAAAATGGATCAGTAATTTGTCTGGAATTAGACATTTAGTTTCCTGGATATGCATGTCTGATTTCTGGGTTAGTGAGACTAAATTATTCCTGAAATTACAAATTTATCAACCAATATGTCATCTATTGATCATGACCCAAGTACAGTTAACGTTTTTGTTTGAACATTTAACACAGGAATATATATGTGTGTGTTTTTGGGTTTTTCCCAAAATTACAGTCTTACTGGGTATTTATAATTTAGCAATGTAAACTGGGGTCATCTCATAGCAATTAACTTATTTACAGTGATGGTCAGAAATTTATGTAACGTTTTCATCTCACCAAAAAAAAAAGAGTGCCTGTTTAGTGCAAAAATGACCGAATTTGGGAGGGAAAGTCAGGAATTATTTGGCAGTGCATGGCCATCAATGAAATATAGTGCTATGATACCTTACATTAGTCTCAACAACAGAATCAATTCCAATCTAATTAAAATTAGATGTTCCGAATCCGCTACCGCTTCTCAAGCGGTAGCGGATTCGGAACATCTAATTTTAATTAGATTGAATCAATTCAGTCCTCATAATTTAGAATGCCCATTTTTACTAAGATTTAATGTAATCTGGTAATTTTAACTTTCTAGTAATGATGACAGATATATTATAAACATTGATACTACAGTGAAACCTGTTTAGTCTGCACCTGGACACAAATTCTGTGTTGGAATAGACAGGGTGTTGGATTTCACAGTGGAAGAACACAGAAAATATACAGTAAATTGGAAGTGAAAATAAAGATTGTTATTTACAGATAAATGGATTGACAGGTGTCTGATTAGACAGTATTTACTGATTAACAATTATCATTTGTTTAGCTTGATTAAATAATTGTATAATTGTGTTTTATAATAACAAGATAATGTCATATCACTCATATATTACAACTTACTTTTTTTAGCTCACCTTGATGAAGCTTATGCTATACCCCCGGCGTCGGCATCCCGGTTAAAGTTTTAGGAGCAAGTCCCATTCTCAAGTAACTATAAGCCCTACCTTGACCAAACTTACATGGATGATGCATCTTGGGATGGACACTACCACACTTGCTTTGGATGCTGGATCTGACCTAGATTTTCCAGATGAGTGACCAGGTTAGTTATAGGATACAGGTCCATTCCCAAGTAACTTTAAACCCTACCTGGACTAAACATGCATGGATGATGCATCTAGCCTAGGGATGGACACTACCGCACTTGCTTCGGATGTTGGATCTGACCTAGATTTTCCAGATGAGTGACCAGGTTAAAGTTTTAGGAGCAGGTCCATTCCCAAGTAACTATAAACACTACCTGGACAAAACT